GAACAAGTTGTGCGTTAATAAACATCCCACTGCCATCGTGTGGGCATCAGCCCAAAAAGCACAAGGCGGGTGGCTCCATCCTGGGCAATTTTATTCACACCCAGCCAAGCTGCCACCCTGTTGCATCATTGGAGGGTTGCTAAAGGCGGGGGAGGCTGATCTGGAAAAGGCAACAGCCAATGGCAAAGCCTAATCACTCCATTTTGAAGGGCTTGGGTTTTTTTTTGTTTTTTGTTTGCATTGGTAGTCCAACCAGCTGGAAGAGTGTCATTAAAATGCAGTTTGTCTTTTGCAACCAGCTCTCCTAATGGAATGCAGAAAGTCAGGTATGATCCGGATGGACAGGCACAGAATTAAAAACCTCCAGGAAAAATAAAATAAATAAAATATCTTGTAAATATAAATATAATTTATTATTATTTTTTAAAAAAAACTTTCCTCTGGGACCAACTGGGACTCGAACTCACAACTTCAAGGCCCGCCTTTGAGGCTTTTGCCCGTCTCTCCCGTAGGAGAGTTCTCATTGGCTGCGACAGCCGAGTTGGGCGGGCGCTGAAGAGGAGGACGCTCCTTCCGCAGGAGGGCGCTCGCTTAAGAACGCCTCTCCTAAACCTCCACACCGTAGAGCACAAAATCTAGAAAGTCAAAACCCCTTCGCCCTTCACTTCCGGCATGACTGCACAAAGCTCCCACGAGGGTTTCTTAGCACAGAGCTGCTGATGGCTAGAATGGCACATATGCAGCACGCGAACTCCGCTTCTGAGGCTCTCTAAGCCGTATGGCTGACGGAGGCGATGACGTCACCTTCAAAACCGGCCTCCCAGGTCCTCCGACACTCCTATTGGCTGAGTGCTCTGTTGCTCAAGCGGGCCGGGGGCGGAGCCGCAGCCAGCGGCTGCTCGGAGCTGAGGGCGGCGGCCGGGGCGGCGCCGCGGCGAGGCCGCTGAGGGAAATCGAGCGGCGGGGACGCCTCCGGGCCTCCGGCACCGCCCCTACGAAGCGAGGCGGCGGCAGCCGCGAAGTCGCGGCCTTGACGGAGGGGGCGGAGTCCGCACGGTGCCGCCATTATTATCCATGCGCGGCGCGAGGCATGGTGGGTGGCCCTCACTGATATTCATGAGCCTCATGCATATTAATATATCATGAATATAAAGGGGAGGAGCCTTATTTTTTTTTCCCTTTCTCATTTCCCTTTCCAAGTTCTCCAGGCTTGGTTAGACCAAATAGGTATGTTCTTTTTGAATGTTTTTGGTAAAAAGGAAACTTCCACCTCTTTCTCCCCCTTTTTTCTTTGCACAACAGCCTTGCAAGGTAGGCCAGCCTGAGACAGAGAGCAGTTGCATTCCTTGCCCAAGCACTGGGCAAATCAGTCAACTTTTCCTGCCCCTCCTTGCACTTTGGGCTGCTTGCTTAAGGCTCCCCCTGCCCCCCCCCCCGACTTTCTCTCCCTTTGTGCTCTTTTTTGGCAGATTTTTATTTTATTTGTTAAGTTCAGTGGCTGCCCATCTTGCTGCGGGGCGACTCTGGGTTGCAATAAAACAGGGAAGAAAAATGATTTTTTAAAAAATGTAAACATAACATTTCTTTTTGCAGGAAAGCTGGGTTGGTCTGTGGGAGCCAAAGGTTTGGAGGCATTGGGCAGCCCTGTTTCTCTTAAAAATGTTTTTTGCCTTATAATCCCGAGTTCAAGCCAAATATTTATATTTATTTTTATATATATTGCAACTCACTTCATCAGGGGCATGGAGAAGCTGGACTCTGCAGCTCAAAAGGTGGTGTTTTTTTAATGTTTGTATATGTGCATATAAATGTAGATAGATATAGACAGAGGATAGATAGCAAGGTTAACATAGTTAAGGGAATTGCATCTGATTTTATGATTTTTTTTGCCATGGTTAAGTTTTTAAGTGAATTGTGCTATCATTAAGCGAATCCATTGACCTTGGTTGTTGAAAACCGGCTGCGAAAGGTGATCACATGATCCCCAGGATGTCACAACCCTCATAAATACATTGGAATCCACCCATCTTAAAAGTTGCCAAGTTTAAAAACTTCTGCTCTCATGTCTGCTTTCTCTGCCTCTCAGATCCTACCTTCCAGCTTTCAGTTCTACATCTGTTGAAAAAATTGGTGCAGCCACCAAGGAGAAGCATAAATTGTTTGAACAATTTATTTATACACTGCTGAAATCAGAAAGCTAAACCTGGTGGCTTGTGATGTGCTTAGAAAGGCTGTTTTTTTCCCCCTTTACTAGGTTCCTGGTCCATGAACATCAGTCTACCACCGGCCAAGACGTGCTTGTTTGAAGAGATGAGAAAATAAAGGAGCCATATTTCAACCGTTAAATTCCTGCATATTCTGGGCAAATCTTGACTTGAGTCACACCGAGAAAAGAAGGAAAAGCAACTGTCTTGTGAAGGCTCTTCTCTTATTTTTAAAAAATAGGTAAATGCCTTGTTGTCTCTGGAAAGCTGTCAGGAATTTAACTTCATTATGCTAAGCAGAGATAGGCAGCATTCATTGTGCGTGATATATTTTTATTATTCCTGATATTTCTCATGTGGTTTTTCTTTGACATGTTTTTTGGCTGTTGAATAATTCATCCTTGGGAAACTGAGGGTTTAAAATTTGTATATCTGTCTGGAGCTTGTTTAATTTTTTTTTAAAAAAACCTCATGTTCCATGCTTGATTTTTTTTTCTTCTCCCGCTCTTTCCGCTGAGAGAGAAAAGAGAAGATTTTTTTTTTCTTTTTCTCAAAAGGAGAAAAAGGAGACACACAGGCTAGTGGTAGTGATGCAGGCGTCTAGCTGCTGTATTGCAAAAGTTTTCTGGTCTTCGTGAAAGTTAAGACCAGCCACTTCAAAAGGAAGATATAATAACAACAACAATAATCATAATCATAATCAAATTGGAAGGGACCTTGCAGGTCATCTAGTCCAACCCCCTGTTCAGGCAGGAAACCCTATACCATTTCAGATAAATGGCTGTCCAATCTCTTCTTAAAAACCTTCATTGTTGGAGCATTCACAACTTCTGGAGGCAGGTTGTTCCACTGGTCAGTTGTTCTAACTGTCAGGAAGTTTCTCCTTAGTTCTGGGTTGCTTCTCTCCTTGATTTATGCAGAACAGGGGTGGGCAACTATGGTCCCTTCATGATCTGTGGACTTCAACTCCCAGAATTCTGCTTGCAGTGCTCAGAGCTGAAAGTTAAATGGTCTGTCATTTCTAGGAAACTCAATCTAGATGGCTAAGGATGTTGGGACTTGTAGTTGGCTTCAAGCCTCTCCAGAACGTAGAACTGCCTTGAATCGAACGAGGGACTTTCTGCAAGCAGAGGACCAGTTTGGCATCTCCCTTGACTGCCTCCAGCAAATGCATGGCTGGCTCAGGGTTTCTGGGAGTTGAAGCCCACAAATCGTAAAGGGGCTACAATTGCTCACCTCCGGTGCAGAAGACAAGCAGTCCTTGACTTATGACCACAGCTGAGCCCAAAAATGTCAGCGAACTGAGAATTTGCTACATGGGTTTTGCCTCATTTTACGATCTTTCCTGCCACAGCTGTTCAGGGAATCATCACAGTTAAGTTAGCAATCTGGTTGTTAAATGAATCCGGCTTCTTCCCCCATTGACTTTGCCCATCAGGAGGTCACAAAAAGGGATCACGTGACACACTGGGACCGTCATAAGTATGAACCAGCTACCAAGCGTCTGAATTTTGATCACCTGATCCTGGGGATGCTGCAAAGGTTGAAACCGTGAAAGATGGTCTCAAGTCAGTTTTTCCAGCGCCGTTATAACTTTGAACAGTCACTAAATGAACTGTTAAATCGAGGACAAGCTGTAATTTCCCCTTTGTGACAAACAACAGCATCCCGGGGTCAGACTGTCGCCTTTTACGACCTTCCCCACTTCCAACAGGCAAAGTCAGTGGAAGAAATTCGCTCAGTGACCCTGTGACTCGCTTAGCAGCTTCAACAGTTCACTTAGCAGGTTGTAAAAATGGCACACGATTCACTTAACAACCTGCTTGCTTAGCCAGGAAAGTTCTGGTCCCAGTTTTGGCTTGCAAGTCGAGGACCACCTGTGCAGAAGCAGCTCTTGAACTTACCGGCTTTTTTCTGTTTTTATTGCTTTCTGGCTGTGTCGGGGTTTGCAGAGAAGAAGCTTTTCAGAAGCCTCTTCATTTTGTAACATCCTTTTCTCCTCCTCCTCCTCCGATTTCTCATTCGGCCCTTTGAAGTAGCTCAGGTCAAGGAAATGGGTTGCACAAGGACTCCGTGTTGTAGTAGTTGTTGCAGGATTTAATAACAGTCGTAACATAACCAAATAACAGAGTTGGAAGGGACCTTGGAGGTCTTCTAGCCCAACCCTCTGCTCAAGCAAGAGACCCTATACCATTTCAGGTAAATAGTTGTCCATTCTCTTCTTGAAAACTTCCAGTATTGGAGCACCCACAACTTCTGGTGGCAAGCATTTCCACTGGTTAATTGTCCTCACTGTCAGGAAATTTCTCCTTAGTTCCAGGTTGCTTCTCTCCTTGGTTAGTTTCCATCTGTTGCTTTTTGTCCGGCCTTCAGGCACTTTGGGGAATAGCTTGACTCCCTCTTCTTTGGGGCAGCCCCTCAAATATTGGAAGACTGCAATCATGTCCCCCCCTCGTCCTTCTCTTCATTAAACTTGACTCCTGAAAGCCTGACCGAGTTTCTCTCTCCCCTCCCTTCTCCTCCTTAGGGCAAAACAATCTCCACTTTTCTCCTTTACTTCCTCCTTCCTTTGCAGACTAGTCTGGTGTTGACCTAAAGGCTACTAAATACCTCTCTCAAGGCCATCTCGGTGTCCCTCTGCAACCCACTGTTTTCTCCCTCTGCTTGATTCCCCCCATGCCCTCGCAGGGCTGAGTCCCTCCGAGCTGGCTGCTGTTTTGCTCACTTGCCTCTCCTTATTTTTTTTTATTTTATTTTCCCGATTCCTGGCAGGATTTCACCGCCGGCTGAAGGAAAATGGGCAACGTGGAAAGCAACAGCTCTTACCAGAAACACCTCTCCAGGTTTCTTTCTGATGAAGTGGCCGACATCGACGGCGTTTTTAGCGCCTTATCTGGAGCGGAGGAAGCCGTCGTCGTAAAGATGGGGAAAAAGGCACAGACCAGGGTGAGCCTTGAAGCACTCAAGGTAAGTGAGCAATGGGCAGGCTCCCTTACAGTCGCAAGTCGAGGATTACCTGTAATTCGGTTATTTATTAGATTTTTTTTTTTACCCTGCCTTTATTACCTTATAAGTGATTCAAGGCGGCAACATCATAATGCTCCTTTCTCCTCCTCTTTTTTCTCACAACAACAACCCTGTGAGGTAGGTAGGGGCGTGACTTGGCTTCTGGCCCACGTCAGAGTAGCTGTTCTAGGGTCTTGTTCATCTGCTACTTCTTAACGGCCACCATTAAACCCAACATTTCTGTGGCTAAGCGAGACCATTGTGAAGTAAATTTTGCCCCATTTTACAACCTTTCGTGACACAGCCGTGAAGGGAATCCCGGCAGTTGTTAAATTAGTTGCACAGTTGTTTAAGTCAGACATGTCAAACACAAGGCCCGGGGGCCGGATGCGGCCTGCAAAGTGGTTTCATGTGGCCCGTGAAGCCATCCTGGAAACAGGGAGGGAACGGCCGCCGCTGCCTTGGTCCAGGCCGGCCAGGAGCCAATGTACAATTTTGTGGTGGCCATCTATGCTGAGACGCATTCAGTCTTAGCTCCACAAGGCCGTCTAGAAACAGCGAGGAACCAGCCCCTGCCGCGTTGGCCCCGCCCCCTGGGTGCGTGCTGGGGAGGGGTCACCCTTTGTGAGGAATGAAGAAATGGACCGTGCCTTGGCACTTGCCCCGGTCCCACCCCCTTCTGCCAGAGACCCTCAGATCTGTCCCACTCCTGCCCAGGCCCCCACAGGCACCCTTGACGCGAACGATGTAGAGCTGGCCACGCCCACCCAGTAGGCCACACCCACCCTGGCCACACACCCCCAAGGGGAACCGCAATGCTGATGCGGCCCTCAATGAAATTGAGTTTGACACCCCTGGTTTAAGTGAATCCAGTTTCGCCCACTGATTTTGCTTGTCAGACGGTCGCAAAATAGGATCATGTGGCAGTCCAGGACCCTGTGACCGTCATAAATAGGAGCCAGTTGCCAAGCGTCTGGATTTTGACCATGGGGAGGCTGCAGCAGTCACAAGTGTGAGAAATGGCCATAAGTCTCTTTTTTTCAGTGCTGTTGTAACTTTGAGCAGTCACTAAACGAAGCGTCGAGGACTGGGTGTATTTCCCTTGATGCCTTTGGTACTTTTTCCAGGCCTACGTCAAGGACGCTCTGCCTCCATCCATGGTTACGAGGCTGTACAGTGGGATGAGAAGCATCCAGGAGACCCACCAGTCCCCAGAGCCCAGCACGTGGCTGGCCAAGGAGCAGTTTGTGGTCTTTACATCCACCCTCTTCAAAGGCAACGCCCAGGAAAAGTGTGGAATTGTCCTGAAGATGGTCTCAGATGCTCAGAAGACCGTCAAGGGAAGCCAGATCCTAGAGGTAAGTCGACCAACACCTTGTTTGCGTTCAGGGGAAAGGTGAGGTTTATTTCTTCATTCAGCATACGGCCTCTTCTCATGCGGTCATCGATAACGCAACGCTAATAAAGCACAGTATACATACCGACACAAATATAGAGCTGGTGTAAAGTATGTGGACAATACAGCATGTGAAATGTTATATGAAGGTTAAAAAAAACGTCATAAAATCACCATCGTCCTTTCAGATAAGCAGTTTTCGCTCCTTATGAGAGGATTTCTTTTCAGAAGCAAACCATCCGACGCCTTTAAAAACCCTCCTTATTTCCTTGAAGTTTGCAGGGGACCTGATCAGCTCTGTGGTTCACGTGCTAAACTACAGGAAGTTGCTGAAAGGGTGGAAGCCAAAGAAGCTGAATAACTCCATCGCCAGCGTAAAAGCCTTGGCTACTCAGCTGGTCTCTGAGCTGAGATCTGCAGGTGAGTGTGACCTGGGATGTACAACAAAACAGGACGTACAACAAAGGCTTTCATAGGAAGTCTGAAAGAGCCGGTATCAAACGTTGTTTCGTACAGTTTTCTGACTTACATCCCTCGACTTACGAGCCCCAAATTTCCGCTGCTAAGCAGGATAGTTAAATGAATTTTGTCCCATTTTACGACCTTTTTTTGCCACCGTTGTTAAGTGGTTATGACATCCGAAGGTATTTACAACCCAGTTCTGGAGTTTCGGTGGCAGCACACCCAATCCACCCCTGTGGTTTTTAGGAAACATTTTGTCTATTTTAAGTCTTTACCACCAGTTTTCTGGCAAAACAAACAAACAAAAAAAAAACACCAGAAGGAACAAATAACGGGTGTTTGCTTTACGACCGCTGCATTCACTTTACACCCCAAAAAGAAAAAGTGCAAAAATCAGGCGAGTCACGTGGGGGTACCTCAATTTACAATTGACTTAACGGTGGAAATTCCAGGGTCCATTATGGCCTTAAGTCAAGTCCACTCTGAAGCTGGGGAATTCTGGGAGCTGAAGTTGCCGAAGTTGAGAAAAGCCTAATCATTTGGGGTTGCGTGTGGTGTGTGTAGGCTCCCTCTTTCCAAATTCTGATTTGGCCCTGGCCAAACCTATGTTTCTTGCTTCAGAGGGGAAGAAGATGGAGGGAGCCTCTGTCTTGGATGCCACCTGTGACCAAAACAGCATTGAAGATTGGCTTTTCCGAGTCCCACAGATCTCCACCTTCCTCAAGGTGGTGCTTCAGCAGGGCCTGCTCCTCCTCCAGCCTCTCTCCGACGAAGCCAACGAGATCCTCCATCTGCTGCCGGAATGCCGAGGCCTGCAAGGGACGGCCTTCGTCAGCCTCCTGGACGTCCCTTCCATCATCTACCTCAATGCCCACCTGCCTTCTGAACTTCGGGATCAGTGGCAGCTTCTCTTCACCTCCCGGGTTCACGGGGAGAGCTTTACGCAGCTGTGCGGCCATATTGTCAACAGAGGCCCCTGCCTTCTGGTCCTGAAGGACACCGACGGCTACATCTTTGGCGGGTTTGCCTCCTGCTCTTGGGAAGTGAAGCCCCAGTTTCAAGGTGAGGGTCTTGAAATTCAAGGTGAGATGAAAGAAAGTTGCCCCCCCCCCCGGTCTGCAGAATTATGCATAAATTAGACCACATAAAATAATTTTCCCAGCCATTTCATTGCATCCTTTAAGTGGATTTTAAATATGTTGATTAAGTATGTTGATGCACCTTTTGGGGTCCCTTGAGGGTACAAACAGACAAACAGATAGCTCACATTGAGAGTTTTAGTGGTAAATACGTAGATAATACACATGCATACAAAGAGTGTAATAGCTCTCGTTATCCACTAGGTGGCAGTCTTCTCTTAGTTTATGATTCCCCCCCAAGATTAGGAGAAAAAAAATGGGAAATGAATGAGGACTAGCAGCTTAACTTTTTCCAGTTAGGGCTCTGCTGGGATGAATCTTGCTGCATTCCTCTCTCTGGTCCCTAACTCTTCCTTCCTTTGTCACTTACAGGAAACAACACATGTTTTTTGTTTTCCATTTCTCCCTCGCTCGCCGTGTTCACCTACAGTGGCTACAATAACCATTACATGTACCTCAACCACGGGCAGCAGACCATGCCGAACGGACTTGTGAGTAACAAATGGTGGTCCGTTCTGGTTTGCTGTGGCCCCCCCAAGGCTTTTATCCACGATGGCTTGCACAGCTACGCATGCTTTGAAACGGCGTCAAAACGGAGGTCTTCAACCGTGGCGTCTTTACAACTTGTGGACTTCAATTCCCAGAATTCCTCAGCCAGCCATGCTGGCTGAGGAATTCTGGGAGTTGAAGTCCACAGAGTCGTAAAGGGGCCAAGGTTGGAGACAGACCCCTGAATCAAAAGGTTCATTTTGAACTTTGCCCAAATGGCACATCTCTCGGCTGTGACTTCCAGCACCCTTGCCAGTGTGAGAACAAGGTGCCCTAACTTCCACAAAAATCAGATGTGGTTTCCAGACAGGCTGCTGTAATGAGTAGCAGAGGTCCAAAGTACTTCTTCCCAATCATTTTCGAAGTGCATCCAGCCACAGGAGAGGGCTTTTGCGCTTAGCTCTTTTTTTATATATATAAAAAAATAGATTATAGTTGTCCTCAAGTTACAACATTTCATTCAGCAACCGGCATTACGACGGCGCTGAAAAAAAAGGGACTTATGACCATTTTTCACACCTCTGTAATTGGTCCTGCAGGTGTCCCCATGGATTGGATTCTTGCATTCTCCAACCTTTTCTTACCCCAACACAGGCATGTCTGTCGTCTCTACACTAGACTGTTCCTTTTCCTTCCAGGGCATGGGAGGGCAACACGAATACTTTGGCCTCTGGGTGGACAGTAACTATGGGCAAGGCCACAGCAAAGCCAAGCCCCGGTGCACCACCTACAACAGCCCTCAGCTGTCGGCCAAGGAGAACTTCCTACTGGATTCCATGGAGGTGTGGGCTGTGGGAGACTTTCCTGAAGCCAAAAATGTAAGTCTTGTCGTTCCAAGCAAAGCCACCTTAGATGCTGATAAAAACTTCCTGTTGGGCCAGGAGTTACCTGCCCCAAAGTAGGGCTTGAAATCCATGAGTCAGACGTTTGGGCTTCTGGTTTGCACCTGGGGGGAGGCTGACAGGGTCCTGCAGCAGAAGATGGGAAAGGTCCTCAGGATGGGTTGCATGGAAGTCAACCAAACACATGACCAAGTTAGGAAGAGAAGAAGGGGAGAGGTCTTGGGGGCTCTGTGGTGTCCTTGGTGTCTCTGAGCGGCCCATGGGAGAGAAACAGGATGAACAGAAGACAGAATGATTGACAGGGAATAGAGGAAGTGGGGAAATCAGAGAGGCCTCCTTAAGCACATCTGACTTCAACCCGAGCCTGTTTGGCAGGTGGTTGCTGTTGCCACGAGGATGTAAGCTCCGATTGGCCTTTTCCAGGATGAAAGCAACTCTTGAATATGCAGGCCCTTTGCTTTCCTAGGTTAGGGAATACCATTTGAGCAAGAACAAGGAGGATTTATCAGAGTATGTTCTACTCCTCCATCAGAATGGATTGAAAAGGCCTGGGATTTCTTGGTGGTTTCCTATTTACCTACTATCCAGGTCCAGCCCTGTTTAGCTGCCTCCTAACTTGGCACCACAGGCATCAACTTAAATTAAAGCTTATCGTTGTAAGCTGCCCAGGATTACCCTGAGGTAGGATGGGAGGCCTATACATTTTATAAACAGTCAATCAATCAATCAATCAATCAATCAATGTGAAGGGGTAGTTTGTGGTCGAACGTATTGGGTTTATCTCGCCCTTGGCTCATGGGGTGAACCAGCCCATCAGCTTCAGTCAGCACAGGGTTGACTTGCTTGCCCGTAGCCTGTTGAGGTGTTTTGCTAACCTGGGCTTAGTATTGTGCGTATTCACTGCATATTCCATCCATGCAGCTCCACTCCTAGCAAGGCAAATAGGCTAATACAGGACATTGACTCTTAAATTCTCAGGAGTTCGGTTTCTAAGATCTTAACACAAGTGGGCGGCTGTGTATATATTGATCTGTGGCTTAGCAGCTGCATTTTCTCTTCCTTTTGAACAACTTGGGGAAAAAAACCCAGTGCTCTTTGATTCCTTCCTCCCCCGCGATGGCCCAGCTTCAAGAGACTTACCAGTCAGAAACTAACATAAATTTGCTTTCTCATCTGACCTAACCTGTTTCACTGATTAGGTCAAAGTAAAACCTTTCCATGTGTGCCAAGCGGTAGGACGAACAAGGAATCCACCCAACTTCCTTAGCTGAAGTTTCAGGAACAAACACAATCGCTCAGAGGGGGTTGCAAACCAGATCTGCGCACCTTCGGCTGTGGTTGTGTCAGTTTTTCCCCCAATTTCTCTTCTGGGTTTGGCTTTAGGGAAAAGGTCCGAAGAGCATCTTAGACACCGATCCCGAGGCTCAAGCTTTGCTAGAGATGATGGGGAAAAGCCGCCAGAGTGATGGGTTTCGGGAACCACCTGAAGATGAAGAAGGAGACAATTAAGGTCTCATCTCAGATATTTTTTTCCCACCAAGCCTGACCAGGATTTTGCTGGAACACCTTCCGAGCTTTCTATTTTCCACACGTCGGTATCCGTTGCCCCATCTTTTAAATGTGATGAGATTCCGTTAAATAACAATTGGTGTCTTTACGAACTTTGGACGTATTATCTTCAGGGTTTTCCTTTCCAGGGATTGGGCGTGTATTGTACTAAATTCAGGACCTTCTTTTTCTTCTTTTCACATTATTCACATTTATTTTGGGCTCAAGGGGACCCCCCCCCAAGGGGACTTCCAGATTAATATTCCTTGGAGGGATCCCAGTTCACTCACAGAGTTCTCAAAACTCAACGTCTTCTATGCAAATTGAGCCGTATTTCGTTGGGACAATTTAAATGCTGCATAAAAACGTATTTTGGGTTTGTTGAAGTGCCATATCTGGAAATCAGGAGTTCATATCTGAATTAATCACAGCAATATAAACAATTGGATCAGATTCAGCAGAAGTCTTTTTTAGAGACTGGCTGTGAATTTCCAGCTTCATGGAGCATCAAAACCAACAGACTGTTAATGTGTGAATCCAGCCACTGTTTTTTTTAAAAATCCTAATTGAACACCAAAATCGCAATATCCCATTGACCCCACCCCAGAAGACACCAAGGCAGACTTTATTAACAAGTGTTTTTATTACATCTTAAAATAAATAAAAGCAGGCAATTCCTCAATTTTGAAAGGGGGGGGGAACACAATTGTCGGATGACTAGATAGAATCCAGGCATCATTTTTGCAGGACCGGATGGTTGGTGATTAAAAACAATAACAATGGATCGGTCTGTGATAGAGTTGGGGGCAATCAGAGATGTAGAAGAGACGCAAATAGTCCCAAGGTAGCACTGTAGAATTGTAGAATCCGACCGTTCCCTTGAAAAAAATTGAGGGCAAGGTTCCAGCCACGCCAGGTTAACCAGATAGGAACCAGGATCCGATGAGCTAATTCTACTTTGTTGTGAGGCTACATTGCAAGCCTGGACATACAGATCTTCTGCCGCCTCCTTTACAGCCCAAGAAACCAGGCAGGGTGTCTTTGAACCCCTTTCCCAGTCCAGCTGAGGGCTACGCTGCCTCTTATTTGACCGTCCCTTTGGCAGCCTCTCTTTGCCCCATGCCCCAGGGTCTTTTCCCTCACGCCGTTCTGTGCCATCAGACCATTTCCAGCGGTTTGTGATCTGGCTTGGACCTGCAACAATATTTCTCGCACGTTTTGACCAGTTCCGAGAAGATGAAGACAGAAGACGCGAGGGTGGTGAGGAACAACAGGTCTGTCAAGAGAAGGAAATGAAAGGGTTACTAAACATGGACAGCAAAACATCAAGGAGGCATCGGTTAGCCACTGAGAATCATCTCCCTGTTCCATTGGAATTGCATTTTGAAGGACTTCTTTCTCACAGTTAATGGGAGCCATCAAGATGCTGACATGAAAATGGAAGGGTTGGCGGTGAACTTTTTCCCAGAGGAGATGTGTCCCCTGAACCTCATAATTTTCATGATTAACGTTTTTTGAAGGTGGCCATTTCGGCTGGTTGAAAAGAAAAGATGTACAGCTTCCTTCCTTCCATTCCTGATGTTCATGAGCTGAATTTTGCAGACCGTGTTATTAGGGCCCTGACAATCTATAACCGAGAGCTTAAAACCTTTTTTATTTAGAAAGATTGAAATCCTCCTTCGAAAGGGTAGCTCTGAGACTTACCCAACGGGCCTAAATTCTCTGTCTGGAAGATCTTTTGCAGCGGAGGGATGTAAATAACGGCCATTTGACCCAAAATAGATCCCAGCACAGAATATAAGAACATGCGGTTTCGGAAAAGGCCGATTTCTAGTATCAGTTTCGTCTGGAGGGGAAAGAGCAAGATCAGATCATTCAATAAGTCATTTGGTCTTTTTTTTTTTTTTCCTTACATGAGCCCAGCCTGGTTTTTTCCAAAACAGAATTTATTTTTTTTAGCAAATCAGATGATTGGGTTGTATCACGTATTCGATAGCAAATCAATGCAATGCCAATGCAGGTATTTTTTAAAAAGCAGGGGCTTTTCTTATTATTGTTGGTATCAATAAGGAAGTTCAAGGAGAGAATTTTGAGTGAATTTAGTATTTCTCCTGCATTGCCAATTTGTGGTTTTGTATTTAAAAGGGAAAAAAAAAAAAGAACCCTTCAGATATCTTAAATGCACATATTTAATGTGCATAGCCGGGTCATGTATCCTACCAAACCAGAATCTGCTTGGTTTACTTTGTAATATAAAGCTAAGCATGCTTGTTTAATTACGGTTTATGGCTTAGTACAGTAAAGGGCTGCAGTAGATTATGGTTTACTTATCAGCCAAGGTGAAGCAAACCATGACTTTTCACTTTTTTTTACTGATTCAAAATAAAATTACGTAGCAGTTTCCTGTTCAAATTCTTTCGAAGAAACAGTGACTCTTTGTTGAGGGTAGCAAGTGAGGATAGCAAAGCAAATTGTTCTTGCTTTGACTTTAAATTATTCCCCCACTCCCAGTACACTGTCTTGAGTGTTCCTGTCCGATTTTGCTGGTGCTTTGCTACCCATTCACCCCAAGAGTTTTATTTCATCCCCAGAAATCTTCTACCTCAAATGACTGGAAAAACACTTGAAACAGGACTTATTAAAAGAAACAGCACTGAGTGAAAAAAGAGAGTCTGGGAAACGTTCTCTCCCTGTCTCTTTCTCTCTGCCTCTGTAAATAATACACCTTTCCTAATTTTTCCAATCAGCAGCCTTCGGGTTTACCGAAAACAGGGTTATAACCATTGTGCCGTAATAGCATTTCTAGCAAAAACCATTCTAGAAGATGTTGGAGACTTAACAGGCGAATAAAAAAAATGGAATTCTTACTTTAAAGCTGGTTGTTGTGCCTGCACGAATATACATTTTGATGCTGTAACTTTATAGTTATTCAATTTAACCTTATATGTATGTATGTGTATCTACATGCATGCATGCTTGTGCACGTATACGTTCTCTCTCTCTCTCTCTCTCTCTCTCTCTCTCTCTCTCTCTCTCTCTCTCTCTCTCTCTCTCTCTCTCTCACACACACACACACACACACACACACACACACACAGTATTTTAGCTTCAGTAAGATCTACTCATAGGAAAAAAAAGCAGAGATTGTTTTCCTCCGACTGGAAAATGGGAGAACAGCATAACAGTAAGNCTTCCCAAGCAAAACAAAAGTTAAGCTGCCTCTTGCTAAAACGTTGTGCACGTTCCTTTCTTTATCAATGGATTCTGCAGAATTAGCTTCCACTCTCACCTGAGATCGACAAGCCAGGGCGTTGAAGAGGTCAAAGAAAACAAAGCAAGTGAAAGTCATTGTAGTTGTCCGGGGCGTTATGCCACGTTCTGGAATCTGGAAAGGCAACGTGGTAAAAATGTATTTATCAAAGAGAGGAGGAGGGGGGGAAACCCGAGCGTCAGCATGAATACTGAAGGCTCTCCCACCTCACAACGAACCTTTTGTTGGTAAAGTCACAATCACCTTCAAAACAGGTTGTACTTCTTTTGAAAAAAAAAAGGTTTAGAAGGAAAGTAGTAGTGCCAAAGTATATAAACAGCATGGGCATAAATCTACACCTGCTGACAGACAAGCCAGCAGAAGATTGGTCAAGGCCGAATGCAGCAAATGTGCCCATTTTTGCCACTCTGCCAATTTCCACCTGCAAAAACTCCCAAAGGGGCTTTTTTTTTCCTCAAAAGGCCACTGGACTTTCTGTGTTTGTTCTCTTGAAGATTTCGCTTCTCATCCAAGAAGCTTCTTCAGTTCTGACTGAATGGTGGAGGATGGAAGTAGTAATTATATCCTTGCAGTCATCTGGTCATTAGCACTCTCTCTGAGACTCACTGAGGCCGCTTGGAGGTTTCTCTGCACCCCTTGGGGTCACCTGAGTAGTGCAAATGGGTGCGGGGCCTTTGTGGAACTGCTGGAACGTCTTCCAGGAAATCCCAAAGGTGCTTCCTCAAGAGGCAGCTGGACTGTCTTCGTTCTTGCTGGAAGACATTTAGCTTCTCATCCAAGAAGCATCTTCAGTTCCGAAGAAGCTTCTTGGAGGAGAAGCAAAACATCTTCCAAGAAAGAAACCAAGGAAGCCAAGTTGCCTTTTGGAAAAAAAAATCACCTTTGGGACAACCATGACCTGGAGGAATGGTTGGAAACTGATCAAAGAGAGAAGCAACCTGGAATGAAGGAGAAATTTCCTAACAGTGAGGACAATTAACCAGTGGAACAGCTGGCCTCCAGAAATCGTGGGCGCTCCATCACTGGAGGTTTTTAAGAAGAAGCTAGACAGTCACTTGTCTGAGATGGTATAGGTTCTCCTGCTTGAGTGGGGGGCTGGACTAGAAGACCTTCAAGGTCCCTTCCATCTCAATTCTATTCTAAAGGCTACTGACAAAGTAATTTGTATATCTTAAAAACAACAACAACTTTGGTCTGGATGTTTAAATTCAGCCAATTTGCACATCCTCATCCTGAATGCAAATCCAGAGCTGAGTAGCGAAGGCTCAATCTCTGAGTTGGATGTATTAAGAGAGTAAAAAAAATTCACGTCAACGAAAGGTGCATATTAGGGAAAATACAGGAACTGTGTCAACAAAGAATGATGGAACCAGGGATGGTCTGTGATGATCTGCTAGAATCTCACCTCCTTCCAAAAGACGTACATGGTCCCCGCGATGATAATGGTTGCCGAAAGTATAATTTTTAGAATCAGAGACTTGCTGAGGATTGTATCGGTGGTGTTTCTTGGAGGCTTTTTGATGGCATCTTTGTCTACTGGCTCAACACCCAAACTGTTTCCGATCCCAGGATGATAATAATAATAAAGAAGACATTGTTTTACAAACACAAACTAATTGCTTATTTATATTTACTAGGGAAATCACCCTGGTTAGGATTTGAGTCCCTAAGGATGGACTACACCAGACTAAATACGGACAGTGCTAAACTTGGGAGAATTTTAGAAATAACTGAAATAATTATTTATGAAGAAAATAAGTTGAGGTATCATCTTAATCATAGAGCTCTTGCTGTCTGAGCTTGGTGGTTTTCTTGCAGACGTTTCATGGCCAAACTAGGTAATATCATCAGTTCCAGCATAGTCTTCGCACTGTTCATGTTACTTAGTTGGGTCATGAAACGTCTGCAAGAAAACAACCAAGCTCAGAGAGCATCAAGGACCCCCCCACACACACAGTTCAATCCTGAGCTACCAATATTCTCTTCTATCAGTATCATCTGAATTCTTGAGAAAAAAGAAAGATTTGATAGTAGTTCTGTAAACTCTCATTTCAAAAGAGCTGATTGTTGTACAAATATTGCGTGCCTATATTTGTCTTTGGTATATTTGTAGTTTGGTGGAAGGATGGGTGTCACCCAGCTTTCCCTCAAAGTCACTTTTCATATCCAATTTCAAACAAGGATTTTCAACTTCTGCTTTAATTGTATATTTAAGTTTTTGTGGGAGAAGTAGAAAGGAATCAGATCTGGATTTGGGGATGGGAAGGTCCTAATTTTCATACGGGGGTGCTCACCTTTGAGCTGGGGGACCATCCATGATGATATTGATCCATAGGATCTGCATAGCATTGAGTGGATTTGGCAAATTGAATATCGTGGACAGAGCTATTAAACTTAGAGCAGAGATGCTCCTAAAAGGAGGAAAAGTAAAAGACAAAAAACAATCAACATTCTCCATTCCTCTTTGAAAACAACCTCAGTTGCATTTTTAAAGAAAATTTTATCGATTTTCTAGTTTTACATTTAAATATTTGAAAAGCAACGTGGCGACTGAGTTGGTCAATAATTCAGTAACATACAAATAACTTTAGTACAGGTCTCAAACTATTACATTAAATGTTTCCTCTCTTTTCCCCTTAGTATTTACTGTCTCATATTTAAATTAATACAATTCTTACTATATATCGATTAAATAAAAATAACTTTCTTACATTTATCAATAATTTTTATGTTATACAGTACATATCCTAATTGTTTTAACATTCAATCTTTTTAGACAATCAATGTCCTGGTTAGTTTTTCCCAATTTTTAGTTTCTGATTAATATTTAAATTTAACGTTTAATATTTATGATTTCCAAGTTTTAAATAACCCCAGTTCCCTTTATCACATTCTTGGGATCCAGTGATGACTTACGTGCTGAGTTGAAATCGAACAAAGTTCTTAATGTTGTAAAATATGCCCTTCCCCTCTTCTATGGCGTGTCTGTTGGGAACAAAACACAATTTCCATACTCGGATATAAATAGTTAAGCTCAGACAGAGTATCATCCATTTTTTTGTAAACCATTTTTATTTATATATTAATTTGAATAGAGATCTTTTCACACCAGGACCTTTTCGCACACTGTTCAGATCTTCAATACAGGTAGTTCTCGACTTACCATTGTTTGTTTAGTGACCGTTTCGAAGTAACAATGGCACTAAAAAAAAAAGTGATGCATGACCATTTTGACACTGTAACGACCGCTGCAGCATCTCCATGATCACAGGATCTTCAGTTGCAACCTTCTGACCAGCAAAGTCAACGGGGAAGCTGGATTATCTTAGCAATTCAAGTTACTAACTTAACAACTGCAGTGATTCATTTAACAACTTGGACAAGAGACATCATAAAATGGGGCAAAACTCACTGAACAACTGTCTCGTTTTGCCACAGAAACTTTGGGCTCAATTGCAACTCGTAAGTCGAGGACTACCTGTATTAGGGATGTAAATCAGAAAATTGTACAAAACCTTTGATACCGGCTCCGTTTTATTACCTTCATCCAGGAGTCAGTGGGAACTTTAACAGAGCGCCGTGGTGGCGCAGTGGTTAGAATGTGGTATTGCAGGCTAATTCTACCCACTGCCAGGAGTTCGATCCTGACTGGCTCAAGGTCGATTCAGCCTTCCGTCCTTCCGAGGTCAGTAAAATGAGGACCCGAGATTGTTGGGGGCAAGGTGCTGACTGTGTAAACCGCTCAGAGAGGGCTGTAAAGCACTGTGAAGCGGTATATAAGTGCTATTGCTATTGCTAATAGCAGTTGGCCTCCATCATTTCATTCCCCCCCCCCAATTCTACCCTCTTCATCCCCAGTAGAAGAAGTGGGCATGAATGTACACTCAGGAGTGCTCAGTGGGCTGTGTGGTGGTGCCTGGTAACATCAAAGGATTCCAGAAATTGTGTGTGTTTGTGTGTCGGAGAAACATTTCCGGGATGAACCACTTACATGATTGCTGAGAAATTGTCGTCCACAAGAATCATGTTGGCAGCCTCCTTGCTGACATCCGTGCCTGCCCGTCCCATCGCAATCCCAATATCGGCAGACTTCAAAGCCACGGCGTCGTTCACGCCGTCCCCTGTCATGCCCACGATGGCCCCTGCCCTTTGCAAAGCCTGCAGAAATGACAGAAGAGTTTAAGCCTCGGCATCCGCCTGATTGGATTTCTTAGGTAAGTAGACGGAAGTTTTGCTTTGGAAAAACGAAGCAGACTTAAATTACAGGTCATCCCCGACTTAACAACTACAACTGGGGCCAAAACATCTGCTAAGCAAGTTAGTCCTTAAGGGTAAGTTGCGGCCAATTTTATGCCCCCCCTTTTTTGCTGTGCTCGTTAAACGAATCACACGGTCATTAAGAGAATCCAGCTACCCTCGTTGACTTTGGCAAGAGCCCCTGGGAAAGTCACACAGGGTGATCATGTGACACCCCCCCACACACTTTTGAATGATTGTTAAACAATGGTCACAAGTCAAGGGCATTTATTATCAAGAAAAGAGCTAAATGTTCAGAGTAGGGAATCTTAAGTTATTGGTGCTAAAATGTACACAGATGTTAAAGTCGGCTTTTGGAAACCTGTAAGCGTTAATTCTTGCAATTAAAGCAAAGTAAGATTTGTGATCTGCTGAAACCTCCTTATCAGAGATTACAGAGATTAAATCCAAGGATAAATGTTCATGCAAAGATAATTGCTAGACACAAATTAAACCACCTTCGTATTGATGCCTTAATCCCACATTTGCCCAATGGGTGCTTATCCAGGTCTGTTTAAATGATTATCTGATTGTCCCTTCATGATTGTCATAAACTGGAACAAGGTGTTTGTGGATTAGCTGCTGGGAGTTTTTTGAGCTAATTAACCATGCTCCTTTTAAACCACAAGAAGCCACAAGACTCAGATCAACAACAAATAAAGGTTACTTGCACCTTGGGCAAAGAAAACAGTAATAATTCGATCAAGGCCACAGTATATTTTTACTAACAAGTTCAGTCTATTTTTGCCTGCAGTTTGTGGTTGATTCATTGCTTAAGGAAGCAGAACAGAGTTGGAAATTTCCTTTGGCCAACTAAAGAGCAACAGTCTGATTTTGTTACCACTAAAAGATCCAGTCTCAAGTTTTGTAAGGAAAAAATCAGTGATAAAAATACACCCTAGTTTGCAGTGATGGCGAACCTTTTAGAGACCGAATGCCCAAACTGCAATCCAAAACCCACTTATGCATCGTCGGGTGCCGGGTGGGTATGGCCCATTGGCTGGGCATGGCTGCGGTGCTAACGGCAGACTGGGTGGGATTAAAAAGTTCAATCAATTCCAACCTTGCAAGATCTTTTTTTTCCCCGCGAGAAGTTGAAATTGATTGATTGAACCTTTAGGCGGAGGCCTAAAGTGAAAAGGTTTTATAAAACCCAGCTGAAGGCCTAGGACTGGGGCAACAGCGCCCGTGCCCACAGAGAGGGCTCTGAGTGCTGCCTCTGGCACCCATGCCATAGGTTCGCCATCACTGCTAGTTTGGAATTATTTCATTTTTCACTATTGGAATAGCTAGGCAGAGACAGTCCCTTCCTCCTGATTGTCAGCAAAGAATGAGTAGACCTTTATTGTCGGAAGGAGTGCAAGAAGAACGAAGGAGGAGGATGAAATCTCAGTAGGATCTTATTCTGCAGTCAACAATGAATGTGAAAGGGAGATCACCAAGAAGCAGAATCCATAGTAAGGAAGGGAAAAATTATGGCCCTCTAGAGTACAATCGAAAGGGTACCTTTATTATTTTAACTTTGTGTTTGGGGCTTGTTCGGAAGAAGATGGAAACCTGGAGGAGGGGAAGAAGAGATGTATGTGAGACCATGGCTTTGAGAAGAGTTGCCCAACATCAGATTCTCATGACTCCTTCAAACACCGTTACATTTTTGACTCTTGAAGACAGCACCGAGTCATCAATGTTTTCCAATTCTTCCCCAGACATAGCGTTCATTTTCCCATTACACAGACCAATATTCTTCCCTGCAATGAAAGAAACGCATTAAGCACATAATAACAGATTTAACTTATACAAACCATACGTACATGGAAGAAAAAATGGCTCGTTATGATTCAAAAGGGGCATTTTTTTAGTGTTTCAAAATTGGACGGCCTCTGAGACTTTCCATGGTGGGGTGTTCTGGACACCTCTAGCCTTTTTCTTGGTCTGTGATTCTCTGGCTGCATCTCTTGAGTGAAGGAACCAATAAATGATCTTAAGGGATCTGCCGAGGATGTTGGCTTGGAGCCAGATTTAACTCCATTGGAGTTCTTGGACAGAAATATCCATGCAACCTTCTTCAGAACTTCAGAGAAGGAAATCTAGAATAAAAATAAAGCTAGGATCGTGCAAAGTTTTAACTTGCCGTTGGATTCTCAAAAGGTTGCAGGACCATGACATGTGACTTCTTTGGAGTTGGCAAGGGAGGGGAAAGAGATCTGCATTTTCTGAATTCTGAATGAAATCAGATGATGCAAATGACAAATGGTTGATGATCTCTGACTTGTTAAATGAGCAGCGTAAAGCAGTTTGTAATTAAGAAAATAGTATTGTGTGGGTTAGATTAGAGGAAAACAGCCTTGCTGTGTCCAACCTGAATCCTTCAGCCCAGCTTCATCTATATCTAAGAGTAAATCAAAGTAAGGATCAAAGCAAATGGGACAGTCTCATTTTTTTTTTAAAAAAATGGCTGCATTTCATGTCTTGCTTACCAATGGCCAAAGCTGTTTCAAAGGCATCTCCAGTTATCATTTTCACAGCTACACCTGAGTCGTTGAGCACTTCAACGGCTTCTTTGACGCCTTCTCGTGGAGGATCAATGATTCCGACTAGACCCAGAAACGTTAATCTGCCAAGTTCTGGGCCAGAAGCCAGGGCAAGCACTAAGATGAGAAAAGGAGACTGAAAATAACAATGGACCATACCATATTACTTTCCATTTACATTATTGGCAGGAAGTGGCCTCTAGAGAGTTTGGAAAAATGCAGTTGGTACAGAACGTTGCAACGTGATTCTCCTGCTAATAGGTCATGTTTGACCCCTCTTAATTCAGTTGGGCTGTCTTCCAATTTGTTTATCCATCCAAATAAAAAAAAGTACATTCTAGATTTTTGGCTCTTGCCTATAAAATAAACTTTTTAGGGTCAGGGCATTAAAATTACTACTTCTTTCTATGAGAACCTTCCACTAAATTTACAATGTTTGTAAGAGGTGCTGTTTCACGTCCCATTTCTGGAAGAAGCTAGCACTGATTTATTTATTTAGTTCAACTGCTTCTAGGTTGCTTCAGTTATGAGGCTAAACACCCAGCAGTAATATAAACACAGTGTCAATGCTACATTTCAATCACCATAGTAATTAAACAATAGCATATAAAGTTTCAACTATAATAATCCCTAATACGAGTAAATGTAAACAAATTGTCAGGCTTAGCTCAAGAACATCATGAAACAACCCAGCCAATGTTCAGTTCATTTGCTTACGCACAATAGACAGAATCTTGCCAGATTAAACAATTACTACTCTCACTTTTATAGATATGCCTTTATGAGAATGAATGGCAGAGCCTGGGAACAGAGTCAAGAGAGGAATCAGCCTAGAGTCTCAACATTCCCACAAGTGGACTAAATCTAACCCTCTTAAATTCCATTAACCCTTAGCTAGTGCAAAATGTTCTAATCATTGACTGACTAGATTCCTGTCCATAGACATGAGCAATACATCAGTTTAATTGGAACTTAATGTGTGGCCCTGCTTTTTTGCACCTGACAATACCCTGGGAGATTATAGCGAATGGCTATTCTAAATCTCTTCCTCTGATCCAGCCCCGGGCCAGGTTGCTTCGTGTCTCACCCCTCTGCCTAGAATTTGCTCCTTCCTTCCTTCCTTCCTTCCTTCCTTCCTTCCTTCCTTCCTTCCTTCCTTCCTTCCTTCCTTCCTTCCTTCCTAGGAAACTACCACTTCACTGTAGTCCATCATATCCATAGCATCGTTCATAATCAAAATATCCTGGTCATCCATCTCAGTTTCCTCCATTGCTCACATCCCTGTCTCCAAATGTTCTTTGAAAGAGCTTTTGTGAGCCTGGAGGGGTCTTTTTGATAATGCTATCCTTAGTATGGAGCTGTTTTCCTTAGTTGGTTGAAGACTTCAGTTTTGTTCAAGAATCTTAATTTGTTGAGCACGTCAGATTGGGGTAAAATGAGGCACAGGCATGGACTGACCTCGCAAGCCAAGGGAACCCATGGCCTTTTCTTCTTGGGCGTAGGAAGCTTTCTGTTGGGGAGTCAAGGGCAGAGCAATCCCCCCATGGTTGAACATGGTGCAATGCTGCATCACTTCTTTAAAGGCCCCCTTCATGAAGTAGATGTCTTCTTGATCCTGGGAGAGGAGAAGGTGGAAAATACAACTAGGAGAACCCAAAGGTGCTTTTTCAGGAGGCAACTGGACTTCCTTGCTTTTCTTCGAAGATGTTTCGCTTCTCATCCAAGAAGCTTCTTTGGCTCTGACCAGATGGTGGGGAAGGGAAGGGTTTATACTCCTTGCAGACAGCTTCCATTCCCTCCTGAAAAAGCATCTTTGGGACAACCATGACCTGGATGACTGAGAATCTCCATAGACACAACCAGGAGAACATTTAGAAATGTTGACCCTTCTATATCCTAAATTAATTAGTTGGTTTGGTTCTATTATATACATAATATCTTTAAAACATGGCATACTGTGCCATATTAACAAAGGAAATATTTTGTTTCTCCAACTTGGCATGTGTCGGAGATAGCCGTGAGGTGAACCTTCACGCTAAGCTATGGCGTAGTTTATTTGACATGGGTTTATGATGTGGTTTGAATCCCACAAGGACAGAGGAACACAAAGCATAGGAGCAGAACTTCTTCCTGAAGGAAAAAAAAACAGTCCAGTTGCCTTTTGAAAAAGCAGCTGTGAGAGAAAGGACCATATTTGAAAAGACCCCTGGATCACCCAGCCTGGAAGGCCATTGAGTAATGTTGGGTAAACTCTACTGAGCTTTCCTTAAAGGGAGTTGTGAGGATTAGAAAGAGGGAAATGGTGAGATATAACTGCGACAACATGCCGTTAACTAAAACAGATTCCTACGTGAATGGTTTCTTCTTTTAGTTTCTAAGCTTGGTCTTGAGACAACTAAAACAAGCAGAATTGTTTCTTCTGTACCTGATTTTTCAAAGCACACTTCACAGCCATCCATTTTTGTTCTGAGCTAAAGGGAATCTCTTTTGTCCGCAAGTAAGTATCGTTTGTATCATCCAGGTCCATCTACAGCAGATAAGAGAAGGACAGAATGTCACTGTGAATTCATTACTCATAGTGCTGGTTGCCCTACAGTAGACTTAAGACAAAATTGCATCAACACCTCTCCGATCAAAAGCTGAATATTTAAGCAACAAATTTCCGTGTTGCTTTTGAACTGCAACATTGGGTTTTGGAAAAGGTTATCAAACGGGGGCTGTTTAGACTGAGTTTTCTTTTGAAGGCTCGAGTTCCTTATCGGCCTTCCTTTATTGCAAACATATAAGCAGACTGTGTTCCCAGTTAGGTCACCTTCCTGCCAGTGGATTCACCTCTGTTAATTGGCAACACACAATTTCCATGCCTGGAGAATTGGGGAGTGGCAATTTTCTAAATCTCTCCAGCTTCCACCAAGGATTGTGGCCTCTTTTGTTCTACCAGAGCATGACCATCCATGATGCTCCAGATTGGTTTGGTACCACCACCGTGACATTCTGGAGAGTTTGCCCATTCCATTCCTATTTCTGCCACTTTTTTCCTCTCTTTGTGGCAGACAAGGGATGAATGTGCCCATAACTAAATAGCTGTAGAGGTGACCCTCATGGCAAAGCCTATCTAGAAGCCTAGATTAAACCTAACTTTAGTGAGAAGGAAGAGAAGCCATTATCCTCTCCCTCATCAATTTTTCAAACGACACCACTGAGCTCCATGGGCCTCAAATGGTAGCAATAAAGGAGGATATTTGTAGCTCAGGGTTGAAATGAAGGTTCCTTAGTGCTCTCTGAGCTTGCTTGTTTTCTTGCAGATGTTTCATTACCCAAGCTAGGTAACTAGCACTGATGATGTTACCTAGTATGGGTAATGAAACATCTGCAAGAAAAGAGCCAGGCTCAGAAAGCACCAAGGACCCCTCAAATGATTTGGGTTAGATCTGGATGTGAATTAAAGTATTGAGATGAGATGTTACCCCCTTTTCCAGTGATTCATGCTTACAGGAAGAGGACAATTCAATAGGTGGTCTATCTCAGGGGCTTGGAGAGTCAACATTAAGATGTCTTAAGTCAGTGGTGGCGAACCTATGGCACGGGTGCCAGAGGCGGCACTCGGAGCCCTCTCTGTGGGCACACATGTCGTTGCCCCAGCCTTGCCTCCCTGTGTGACCCCCTCCTCACCAGCAGCCCCCCTGGAGGAGAGTTGCCCCCGAGGGTGGCCCACGCAGAGCAGCACAGCCAAGGACATGGCAGCCAGGCAGCGTAGACAAGACTCTGCCCTCACGCCCCATCACACACAGTTGATGCTGCGGGGCGTGGGCAGAGGACGTGGCCACCATGGCGCTGCTGGGCTGCCTGGGCGATGTGCGGCGGGCCCTGGAGATGGTGAGTGGCCCTGCGGACAGGTGGGGTGGGGGCAGGGGATGGAGCAGGGGTGGGGCCAGTTTTTGGGCACTTGGTTTCTAAAAGGTTCGCCATCACTGTCTTAAGTTTTCCGCCAAGGCTTTTGTCTTTCTCCATCTTTCCAGTGCTACATTCCTTCTTTCAATCACAGCTATACTTCTGGAAATAATTATCCTTTATTAAAAGACTTCTGTTTTTCCCAGGATCCTATGTTTCTAGTCAACGATCTAACAAAAGTGGTGGCTGGGGTCAGGATTGCGGCATCTTTCCTATTCTTTGGATATTTTGTGTGTGTGCATGCGGAAGCACGTGTGTATGATTAACTGGCTAAATTTCAGATCTTTGAAGGGACATTAAGAAGAAATGGTAGGGCTGTGTAATATGCAGACAACTGCTATCCTGATTGATTGGTTTTTTTAATCGTACAATCCTTAGAAAGTTAGAATATGTTAAATAATTCTCTCCTATCTTGACAATCACAGTACAGCAAGGTGCTGCTTCCCTGCCTTTTCAGATTAAACAAGACCAAATGAAAATTAAAATTAATAAGACTAGGAATCACAGTAAAGGACCTTACCTTCATAGCCAAGGCAAGGAGGGCTCCTTCCGTGGGTTGTCCCATCACCGCTGCCTTTCTGATCACTGCATTGTTGGCCACACAACCAGCCTACAAAAGTTTCATTTCAACTTTTAGGAAGTACAGAAAGAGGTGAATGAATCACCTCCTCTATATCAGCTTTCTCTCATAGTGACAGATTTTATTTTCCTGGGCTCCAAAATCACCACAGATGGGGACTGCAGCCAAGAAATCAAAAGACGCTTGCTCCTGGGGAGGAAAGCTATGGCAAATCTAGACAGCATACTAAAAAGCAGAGACATCACCCTGCCAACAAAAGTGTGTATAGTCAAGACCATGGTTTTCCCAGTTGCAATGTATGGATGTGAAAGTTGGACCATAAGAAAGGCTGAGCACCAAAGAATTGAGGCATTTAAACTATGGTGCTGGAGAAGACTCCTGCGAGTCCCTTGGACTGCAAGGCGATCAAACCGGTCAGTCCTAGAGGAGATCAACCCTGACTGCTCTTTAGAAGGCCAGATCCTGAAGTTGAAACTCAAGTACTTTGGCCACCTAATGAGAAGGAAGGACTCACTGGATAAGGGCCTAATGCTGGGAAAGATTGAGGGCAAGAGAAGAAGGGGATGACAGAGGATGAGGTGGCTGGATGGAGTCACTGAAGCAGTAGGCATGAGCTTAATTGGACTCCAGAAGATGGTAGAGGACAGGAAGACCTGGAGGAACATTGTCCATGGGGTTGCGATGGGTCGGACACGACTTCGCAACTAACAACAACAACAACATATCAGCTCTGCATTCAGTTTGACCCAAGGGATGAGCCCCAAAGCCAATGAGCCAGCTCTATAGCCTTGAAAGTTAACTTTCCTCCAATAAACCAGCATTTTGCGTGTCATGAAATTTTGCTTTACTTAAATGAGCTTCCTAAGAAAAGAAGAATAGCCAGTGATCTCTACTGCAATATGTTGTCCACTGCAAATATGTCATCCCTTATGGGACAAACCATTTTTGTGGGCAGAACTTTCAAACTATTAATTTCCCCTTTATTGAGATTTAGACGATTCAACATGGACTTTTAGCAGATGCTCAGTTCATGCCTTTTGCTCCCTGTTCAAGTTTTTATCCTATTCTTATTGTTAAAGGTCTTTCAAGATTTTTTGGAAGCTGCCCTAGAAGCCTCAGAAATGATTTTTTTATAAGCAAATAAAAATATTTATGCATGCCTCAGAACGGGAAATGAAACTTCACCAGCAGCATTCTGTTTTTCTGGAAACGCTGTGTTTGTTTTCATCCTTCAAGGCGTTGTTATTAATAACAACAGGTTAGGGGAATAACCTGTTATTTGAAGTAATCAAATAATTTACCTCCACAAGTTTTCCCACTGAGATGTTTGAAAATCCTTTGATGACTTCTTTAGATGGTAAAAGGCAAACATTTCCTTCTCTGTTATATCCAACTCCACTCACCTGGAAGAATATAAATCAGTAATAAGGAACGTAAAGACACAGCCAACCATTTCTATCTACATTACAAAGAGAAAGTCCTGATTAGGAGGCAATTCTCTGGGATTTAAAGAATTGAACAATCTCTAAGCAATCATAAATCAGGGTAGGAGACGTATGAACCGCATTTAACAAAAAACCTGCATGGACAATTTCCAATCAAAGCTAAAACCTTAGATAAGAATAGCTAAGATTAAACCCATTACTGCTAGCTTACAAATGTCTGTGGAAAATTCTGGAGTACCTCTGCCTTAAATCCATCAGAGGTCACAAGCTGAATCACGGTCATCTCGTTCGTAGTCAGAGTTCCGGTCTTATCAGAACAGATCACGTTGCAACAGCCTGAGAAGAAAGGGTTGTCCATATTGGGTCTATGTTAGTAACTAACAAGAGACCCCTCAAATGCTAAAGATTTAGTTTTCTAGTTTAATGAAAAGAAGGACTAAGGGTAACAGGAGAGCAGTCTTCCAATATCAATGGGGCTGCCACAAAGAAGAGGGGGTCAACCTGAAGGCCGGACAAGAAGCAACGGGTGGAAACTAATCAAGGAGAGAAGCAACCTGGAACTAAGGAGAAATTTCCCGACAGGGAGAACAATTAATCAGTGGAACAACTTGCCTCTAGAAGTTGTGAGTGCTCCATCACTGGAGGTGTTTAAGAAAAGACTGGACAGCCATTTCTTCAGAATGGTATTGGGTCTCTTGCTTGAGCAGGGGGTTGGACTAGAAGACCTCTAAGGTCCCTTCCAACTCTGTTATTCCATTATCTATTTGAGCCAATGTTTTCTGCCTTAGGGTGACAATCCAAGTAACTTCAGAAGGTCCACCAGAAAAAAAAAGCCACTTCTCATATCAGAGGCCATCTAAAAGATTTATCCTCTTCCATGATTATGTCTGCCAACATTTAAAAACCACCTAAGCCAGCAGCCATCAATTCAACCTGTGCTAGAAAAATGTTATTAATTTTATCTCCTTCATCTAACCTTCTCCAACGTGAATCTGAAGAGCTGTTATCTCTTGCCTTTTTCAGAATGCTTGAACTAATAGAAGATAACTTCTTAAGAATAAATCATGAGGAGGAATCACAAATTTAGGGCTTTTCAACCTTTTCACCCATTGTACCACTTTTAGGATATAGCAATATCCGAGTACCACCAGTCGCCTAGCAAGGTGTCAAAAACTTGATGACCCCCCCCAAAAGGAAAAAAGTGAGAAAGTACAGATAGTCCTCGACTTACAACAGTTCGCTTAGTGACTGTTTGAAGTTACAATGGCACTGAAAAAAGTGCTCCTTAAGCCACAGCTGAGCAAGACACCTGCCTACCCACCTGGCAGCGCTCTTCCTCCTGTCTGAAGTTTTCATTGTTGTGAGCATTTCTGTTGAGGATTGGCAGTGGGGGTCAGGTGGGGGGTGTTTGGTTTTTATTCCCCCCGTCTGCTGGGTGGTTGCAGCAGGTTTTGGCCACTTCACGTGACCCTGGGACACTGTGACCGTCATAAATATGAATCAGTTGCTAAGCATCTGAATGTAAATCAGAAGACCCTGGAGATGCTGCAACATTCCAGCTGATCGGCGCTTTTTCTGGGCTCAGCAGAAGCACCAGGATCAGCACCAAGCTCCAGCTGGAGCCTGGCGCTGATCCTGGCGCTTCCGCTGAGCCCTGACAGCCCTGCAGCTCCAGCCGTCTCTCGCTCAGGCTTGTGCGGTGCTGCCACCAGTTCAGCTCATTCCCCTCCCCCGCTACCACTTTTCTAGGATGGTTGCGTACCACCTGCCAGGTGCCAATGTACCACAGGTGGTACCCGTACCACTGATTGAAAAGCCCTGCACTAATTCATTTCTGTACCTGGAATTAATGTATAGTAGCCAGAGACACCCAGTATATTGTCTGTTTTCATTTGCTTCATCTTATAGCAGTTTTTCCTGAAAATGTCTAACAGATGGCTGTTCAGGAATATATTATTGTTTTATTGCAAAAGGAAGGACAGAAGGAAGGAAGGAAGGAAGAAAGGAAGAAAGGAAGGAAGGAAGGAAGGAAGACGGAAGATAAATGGAAATTAAAAAAAGAAATTGAGCAGAAAGGAGAAAGAAATGAATGCAATATTTTTATACACGAATGCCACTAAAATTAACTTTGAAGAAAAAAATTATATCTGAACATTTCTCCTTTTTCAGATTTTTTTTTATTGGCATATCCACTTTTTGACCCTCCCTTTCCAAAAGCAAGTCTCTGGAGAAATGTAAAGCCAAGCTTTGAAGATCTTTAGTATTTTTACTAATGAAAAATTTCCCCCATATTTTACCAAGAAGTATTTTAACATATCCCAAACAGAAATTTAAGCCAATATGATAATCTTAAATGAATATAGGTTTCAACAATAGCTACATACAGCCTATTCATAACGAGGACTTGGAAGATGAATGAGAAACTTTAAATATCAGTGCTTATGGAATCACCTTAAATGAAAGAATGGAAACTATCATAGTTGAATTAATCTCAGTATTAGTAAATTCAATTGTAGTATATTTCCTATTATTACCAGTTTCCCCCTAACAAGAAATTTTTATGACTCACCTAGAGTTTCCACTATGGGCAACTTCTTCACGATGACTTGTTTCTTGGCCATTCTCAAGACACCCAATACTAGCGTCACCGTGACTACGATGGGCAGGCCTTCAGGGATGGCAGCCACCGCCAAGCTGCGCACACACAATCATTTACCACTGATGTTACACACCACTACCTCTTCCTGCAAGGAAGTATATCCAAGCATCAACTTGCTCCAAAACCCTCATTCTAGAGTACAGACAGAAGACCGGAAGGACGCTAATCAATTATTGAGATCTAGCTAGACCTTTACCAATGAACTTGGGTAAATGACCCAGGAAAGCAGGGGTTTGTGGAATGTCTATTCCAGGAAAGACTGTTAGGTTGAAGTTGGCTGTTCAAGAAGACTTCTAGTTCTACTGTTTTGACCTGATGCCTCTAGGGTGTTGGGAATTGTCATACAACATATCCAGACAAAGCTAGATAGAGGAAATATATTGTAGAAGACTGTCTACAATCTTAAATTAGAGGCTGGACAGCCCTGGAATTCTTTCACTGAGCAGGAAGTCCACTAGATATGTTCCTTCTTGACTCTATGAGAAAGTTTGTATACCATACTGATTCATAATGTAGAATATCTGGCTTTGGCTTTGGCCTAGCGTGATGAGTGATCCCAACTACTATGGGTTAACTGAAGTCAGAATCAAATTGTTATGATTTTTTTAACCAATTATAGTTCAACAAACCAAGTCTCAGCTAGTCAACTCAGCTTCAGGTCTTTTGATAGTTCAACATGCTACGCCTACATGTGGAAGAAATCTCTCTCAAACTTACCTCACTCCAATGGTGAACATGTCAAGGAGATGTTTCCCTTGCAGCCAGCCAATCAGCATGAGTAAACCTTGAAAAACATAGACATCATCTTATTTACTCCATTGCATCACAGATCTGGCAAAAACCCCGAGGCCTTCTACATCAGGGGCGTCAAACTCGCAACGTCACGTGACGTGTTGCGACGTATCACAACTTTTTTTCCATTGCCAGCAATGGGGTGGGTGCGGTTTTGGCATGACACATCCGGCCCGCATGCTAGCAGTTTGACACCCCTGTTCTACATACTCAAAAAATAGCTTGTTTTTCTGATCATACCCATAAACATACATATCTGAAGAGGAAAAACAAGACCCCACATTTAATGCAGACCACCATTTCTCAACTTCATTAGTTTGAAGATGTGTGGACCTCAACTCCCAGAATTCCCCAGCCAACCATGTTGAAGTCCGCACATCTTCAAGTTGATGAGGTTGAGAAACACTGATGTGGACAGTGGGAGACTGAAACCGCCCATATAGTCTCCAAAGCTTTTTTGGGGGGAAAAAAGAGTAAAACTTACCAATGATCCCAAAGGAAGCAATAGTAAGTTGTTTTCCCAATTTATCCATGTTTCTCTGCAAAGGTGTCTTTGGAGTCTTGATGCATTAGACCAGAAGGAAGAAAAAAATGGAGGGGGAAGGGCAAAACACATGAAAGAAATCTATCAAACTGATTGGCCACATAATAACACTATCACAGCATCTCCACTGGCTACCATGTCAGCTTCCAAAATGCTATTTGCCATCTCTAAAGTCCTACCTGGCTTAATGTAGAAGGAATATCTTGAAGAACAGGAGGAAGAGCTGTTACAAAGGAAATGGTCATATAAGAGGGGTTTAAACTTAGGCAGTTTGAGGATGCCCTTAGTTTACAGAAAGATAAAGGAGGTGGATGGTACCAATGGAAGAGAATATTTATAGCTCATGGTTCAACTGTAGAGTCCTTGGTGGTCTCTGAATTTGGTTGTTTTCTATTAGATGTTTCTTTACTAGGTAACATCATCAATGCTCAGGAAGCACATTCAGAGTTGCAAGATTCTGTTATTATAACTGTATAGTAAAAGTAGACCTAGCCTGTATGGCCATCAAGGACAAACATCTTAAAATGTACCTGGAATTCTAGATCCCACATAAATTGAACTATAAGCTGGCATGGCCAGGCACTGATCAACAGATGGTCCACTCTACCCTAAATCTTTGCAAGCTCTACTTGGCTGTGGCTGTAGTAGATTTTACACCATGTTGCTGTAGCTTCCTTTTATGTTTTGTCACGTGCTGTTGCTAACTATGTCAACACCTTTTTCCCTATCCGGTCATCCTGAATGGAGTGGCATCTGCAGTCTAGTACACAGGACAAATTAAGCCAGGTTCTTAAAGGAATATTTTGGTTTTGAGTTGAGAACGACATGTTCAGAGTCTGTTTCTCTGTGTTGTCTTACCTCTTCTTCTTGCATCATTTTGAAGACCTCCCCAAACTGTGAGTTTTCACCGGTTCCAATAACAATCCCCTGCAGAATAAAAAGAGGTTAGAAAATGGTATATCCAAAGCTGACTTTTTGCTTAGATTCTGAAATTCACAGTCCCAAGTTGCAGACACTTTTCTGAAATAATGTAGGGAATTTCTTACACCCTAATCACCCCAGCCCCCTGTTTACTTTTAAAATATTTGAGGGACAGCTATGCAAGTTCTGCAACAACTATAAATGCAATTTTAAGATCTTTTTACTGTGCTAAAGGCTTGAGATCCAGGTTACTGAACTGGGAAAGGAGCTTCTCGCTTTTTCTATTTCCAAATTAAATAGTCTTCTCTCTCCAAGCTAGAGTTTCCCCCTTCATATTAACTATGGCCTATTTTTCACGAAGCAGTTGAGGGCTGTAGGAACAATGAAGACATGATTATCCATGGTTATGTGAACATAGTTTATTCAATACACCCAATATGCTCGATTCACATGACATGCTGAACCACAACCTAACTGCGTAGGCAAGCTTTGCACCACGAGCTAACTTAAATATGGTTGCCTAGTTTGTGATTTAGTGTTGTGCAAATACAGCTTATACGTCTCAAGGGAGATTTTCTTGAGAAGCAGGCCAGTATCCAAAACTCCAGGAGGAGCAGGGATGCACATTCAGAGAAGAAACCTAGATTCAGAAGTGGAGGAACCAAGAAAATGGAGACATATCATTGATCAAAAAGGAGCCTTTTTCTTAATAAATATATGACAGATAATCTTACATCTCTTCCTGATCAATAGACAAAAGCTGTTTTTATATTTCAAGAGCTGCCATCATGCAACTCCATGGCTCACCACTTGGAAGAGTTATCCACCAACCCAACATCTAATGAAAAATGTCTATTTTTGACCACAGTGATCCATTTCTAGTGAATTCAATCTCTTGAATCCCTTTTCTTCATCATGTATAGGCCCTACAGCTGATAGAAGGATGAATTAGAAAGGAAGGAATCCAATCTTGAGTATGAAACCATGTAGCATCCTCAACAGACAACTATTTTGGAGGGTTCTCTCAGGACCTGGCAAAACTGGAGCTATCCTTTGTCCAAAGTGTCCTGAAACAGGTCCATGGTCTTAAAACCAGAAAAGGTCATGTTCCCACCCGTCAGAGCAGCAAAATCTCAGAATCCAGAGACAGGTCAAAGATTGAGATTCCCAACAGCAAGAGGCAGCCCAGCCATCTTAGAAAAGAATGATTGCAATGTAAGAACCTCAACTAGTTTTACAGCTCTGTTGGTTCAAGATAGGAAGATACGAAGAACTGATTCAGATTGCAGAGCCTCCAGACAGAGGTCATCACTCCCACATGGAGTGATGAGGCTATGATTGATATCCAACAGCCCCAGTGAAGATCTCAAGCAGCTACTAACACAGAGCAAACTTAAAACACACCACACACCCAACCATACCAACTATCTTGGTTATTTGACGAACAGAAAGCCACTCACTTTAGCCTTGCCATATCTCACAAGGGTTCCCATGAAGACCACATTGGTGAGGGCTGTTATGTCTCCCGAAGTGGCTAAGATGCCATCATTCTTACTGCAAGGTTCCACTTCACCAGTCAAGCTGGACTCATCCACCAGAAGGTCTATCACCTAAAGAAAATTGGGGTGAGTGCACTTGTTCACTGCATCCTTTGAGTCCACACTGCTCTTTCACTTAAACTAGGAGAATCGCCCATAGTCACTTGCTCATGAGATGGGTGACTACAGAAATTAGATAAATAAATAAAGACACAAAGACAAAGGGGGTCACGTTATTCTCCAAAGCACCAGAGGGCTGGACAAGAAACAATGGTTGGAAACTGATCAAAGAGAGAAGCAACCTGGAATTAAGGAGAAACTTCCTAACAGGGAGGACAATTAACCAGTGGAACAGCTTGCCTCCAGAAATCGTGGAGATCTTTAAGAAGAGACTAGACAGTCACTTGTCTGAAATGGTATAAGTCCTCTTGCTTAAGTGGGGGGGGGGGATTGGACTAGAAGACCTCCAAAGTCCCTTCCAACTCTATTCTATTTAAATGAGGAGATCTTCAAATTATGATAATATTTGGGACCAGAATTTCCATGGCCAAACAAGGTGGTTGTGAAGTAAGTTGCGCCCAAGTAATCTACAAGTGGACCTCTTCTCCTTGAATCTTATTTCCTTGGCCATGACATGCTACATCTCCAGCCACAGAAAAATCTTGGAGTAGGGACTCTGAAAACACTTTTCAAACACACGGGTGTAAGAGGTTTGTGTGGACTTCCTCAACTCACCTACTCTTAGTGGTTCAGAATCATAAGAACCACCAACATGGGACTATCTATTGAATTTCACTCCAGATTGATTCATTTGACCACATGCATATGGGATGTTCAGGACCGTTTGTGTCCTTCAAGCATTACCTCTACGAGTCTTATGTCTGCAGGGATGCGATCACCGATGGAAAGACAGACAATGTCTCCTGGCACAAGTTCTCGAGCAAGAAGGTGTTGCATTTTTCCTTCTCTCAGGCTGGATTTTCAAAGAGACAAAGAAGAAATACTTACATACGGCAAAACACATTTGTGAATGGGATGTGGATGTGGATGAAGATAGGGAGGAGAGAAGGAAGGAATGCTGTAGGCATGATCAACTTGAGCCATTGGGAACCTATCAGGGTGGAATTCAACTTCATGGAGCTACTGTACACTTCAGCCAAACAAATTGTTCTCTTATCTCTAAAGCAGGGGTCTTTAAACTTGGCCCTTTTATGACTTGTGGACTTCAACTCCCAGAATTCCTCAGCCAGCTTGCCTGGCTGAGGAATTCTGGGAGTTGAAGTCCACAAGTCATAAAAGGGCCAAGTTTGAAGACCCCTGCTCTAAAGTCTGAATCCAGATATAGATGGAATATAAAAAAAGAAGGCTATCAAAGCATGTATTGATCTTGAAGTTTAATAGGCCAACCTCAGATTGGACCAAACTGTTACACCTTCAAATATATTTGCCCAGGCAAAGTTGTTTTTCCTTGAACTCAACGCAGAAATAGACATCTGTCCAAGAACTGATAATGAGGATTGTAAGCAACATACATATCACATAAATAAATCACCAATACTGATAAGGAAGTAGGAATTTTTCATCATCGTTCACATTCAGCCAGCAGAGAGGATGATCCATGGTCAAGAAGATGGATCAACTGGCCAGCTGAGGACAAGAAGCTCTGGTCCTGATAGCTCCCTGAATTCAGAAGTTGCCTGAATTTTTGTTGCAAAGATGGTGGTCAGAAGACTTCCAAAGCAGAATGGAAGAGAGGAAGAGCCAATAGAGGCTCCCACCTCAAGGAGTGTGAGGTATCTTCCAAGGATCCTGCTTACCAGTTGCACTCTGGTGGAACTAACTTGTTAAGTTCTTCCAGCGATTTTTCAGAGCGATACTCCTGCAGGAAAAGAAACATAAAAGAAAATTTATGTTTTTTCACTGATGGCTGCTGCTACTACTACTAATAGTAATAATCTAAGATGGAAAATCATAGTACCTGGACAAAAGCCACGGTGACAACAATAACGACAGCCTAATGGGGAAGAAAAGATAAAGTTTGTAGATAAATCAGACACATTTTTAATGCCAATAAACGGTTCAGGCAAATCCCACCTTGACTATCTGGATCAGTGGTTCTCGACCTTTTTAATGCCGTGACCCCCAACCGGTCGTAAGTCGAGGACTAAACTGGTTGTAAATCGAGGACTAAACCAGTCGTAAGTCGAGGACTAAACCGGCCGTAAGTCGAGGACTACCCAACCGGTCGCAAGTCGAGGACTTTCCCTGCCCGGGAGCGCCATGCATGCGTGGTTCCGCTCCCTGCGCTGGCCGAGGCGTAGCTGGCAAGCGGCAGAGACGGAGCAGGCCGACCACCTCAAGGCACCCGCCGGAAAAGGGGAAAAAAATGGCGGACAGCCTTGCTTGGTGACCCCCGTGAAATGGTCGATCGACCCCAAATGGGGTCGCGACCCATAGGTTGAGAACCGCTGATCTGGATATAATAATTAACTGCACTTTTTTTAAAGGGTGAAAACATTCTCATCCCCCCCCACACACATATATGGAAGACTTTCACACAACATAATCAGCAAAAGATGGATTTTACAAGAAACTCTTAAGATTTTTCTTCTTGTCCTTTGGCACTGTTCCCTTCTGATCATGCTGAGGTCAAGGATTGCAGAAGTCACACTTGTAAGGGAGAGAAGTCACGTACCATTGTGATACTCACGGCATCTTCGTACTCTTTAGTAATCAGACTAACCACTGCAGAAGCCAGCAGCAAAAGGATCAAAGGGTTCTTAAACTACAATAAAAGGAAGAGTTGATGTTGACGAAAGTCATTCTTGTTTTCTTTGTTTAACAGCCTATAATGAGACTTGGGCTCAAATTATCCTACTTTGGATGTGTTATGTGAAGACCCGTCTCTCTGAAGGATGCTATAATGCTGGGAAAGGTGGAAGGAAAGAAGAGGACCACCACCAGCAAGGTGGAGGGACTCAGCTCCAGGGGTTGTGGGTGCATCATTGTAAGAGCTGAAGGACCAGTTTAGGGTCCATCTGTCTATGTGGTCACCAGGAGAGAAAAAAAAGATTTGATGGCACATCATCAATTAATCAATAGTAAGACTAAATGTTGCTACACTTTACTTCACACCCAGAATTCATTGCAAGAGATTCAGATCTTGGCACCAACTCCAGAAGTTCTCCAGCCACCTTAACCACAGATTTCTCTTGAGCTTCTGGACACATTGAAAGTACATTTTTCTCTCTATCTCTTAACTTACTTACTTACTTACTCCCTATAATCCCATCTCAGCCTTAGAAGGAATATTGTGTCTTCTCTACACCACTTTGCAACCCCAAATCACACCTTTTCCTGCTGCTAAAATGTGCTACCTGGTCAAGGTATTTCTTCCACACTGGTTCAGTATTATCTGCCACAAGTTCATTCCAACCATGTTTGATTCTGCGTTGCAGCACTGAGAATTCTGAGAGTCCTTTGTCTAAGTCAACCTGGAAGAGACACCCAAAAAATAGAGTCAAGACTTTGGAGCAAAATTGGCTTGGCGCAATGGAGCTAAACATCTGTGTCAGCAAACAAACTGACTTTGATCAGTTACTCTTCTTTGACCTTTGGGTTTCCTAGCACTCGGCTCCACCATCATTAACATCTAGAACAGTGCTGCTCAACCTTGGCTGGCTGGGAATTCTGGGAGTTGAAGTCCAGTTCTGGGAGTTGAAGATGAAGTCCATTTTAACGTTTGACAAGGTTGAAAAACACTGATTTAGAAGAACTTAGAAAAACTTCCCAAGATGGGGAACTGTCGCTCTGCAAATAATGTCTTCAAGGAAGTAGGGACCCTGATGATCAGAGTTGCAAAAGACGTAGCATCCAAGGCAAGAGGCCTTCTCCTTCCACCTCATTGAAGGCAGGAGAGATAAGCAAATGGAGATCTGATCTGTTCTTCTCCTCACATAATTCTGGTTGGGGCCAATGTGTGTATCTTCATTCAAACACTTGAACTGAGATAGCCTAGATAAAACACTTGACTAGCCTGAAAACTGACCCGATTGTGCATGTGTGTGTTTGTGTATACAATGAGATTTGAAATGTCACCTTTCATTTTTCACTTTTGCTACTTGCCTCGTAAATTCGAAAGAAAGAGGTGCAGTTAATTAAACTGCTTTTCATTGTCCTCCGTGATAAAAGGGAAAGTCACAGTGAATCAAAATCTTGGCTTCTCAGTTCTTGGACACTTTTTCAATGTTGTGGCTACTGATTAGGGGGGAAAAAATCACAATCTTGTGTTTATTCCTAAACTTCCTTATTCATACACTTCTTGCACTGGCTTGAATCTTTGCAAAGCGATTGTCTTCTTATGCAGAGAAAACATTGTGGCTGGAAAAAAAAAAGTAATTATCTATCAGCCCTCTTCGGCTGACATTCTTCACCTGAACGGTTTTAAGCTGGTTAGCAAACATTCCTTCGCTTCATAAAAAGCTCTTCAGATAGACAATATTTACCTTATTCTGAACAGATCTTTTTAAGCCATGGAGGGTTAAACCTTTTCCTTCTAAAGGGATAATACTAAACTACTCCTTTGAGGGCCCGGTGACACTTACCTGCAAGGTTTTGGCCAGCTCTTCTACTTGACATTGGCAAGCTGTTTTGGGTGGAATGGCCTCAATTTCTTTCTCTTGATGAAGTGACTTCAGTTCAGATTCATCTTCTGACTGCGTCATGTAAGCAATAAATTGAGAAGCATTAGCCGTTAAGACTCTCCTTGATCCTTGTCATAAATCACTGCTTGGGGTAGAGAGGGTGCCCAGTGCCCAGTTTCACGCATAAATGCCAATTCTTTGTCTCTAGCAAACATCAAATGAACTTTGACAAAGATGAAGGCATTATTTGTCCCCCCCCTCTTGATCAGAGGTGGGCCTTTCAAATCCGTTAAGCAGAATTATGGGTCTTCTGCCATGTTGGGTTACTTTGCCCATCACAAATTTAACACTCCGCTTTACAAGATGTTGTATTGTTGTGTCTCTGGAGGCCATCAGGCAGATGCTTCTACCGATGAGCATAGCGGGAAACGATGAAGGAAAGGCTTGGCGTATGATAGCTGATGTCTCCAGTGGTGGAATTCAGCCGGTTCGCACCACTCCGGCAGAACCGGTAGCTAATTTTTTGCTGCCCAGGCCCAGAATAGACTTCCGGAAGTGGCATCCACACAGAGGACCGGTTGTTCACCTATTTGAATCCCACCACTGTATGTCTCCACATCTCCACATCTTAGAAGGGTGTGACCATGATTCATTTTCAATTCAATTTGCTTTCTGTGAATTTATTTGGGGTACATTTTTTTCCTAGGGTCCAGTGCAGTAGCAGGCTTAGCACAATGCATTTAACCAGGTTACTGCATTAACCCACTTCCCCAGTGAATCATATTCACTTCAACCTCAGTGACCCCTTACACTGAATCCTATGTTAACAAAATGGTCTGCTTTCATCCACTATGCCCATCCATCCAACTCTAACCAAGTGTTTGGGAGTGCCCTATGCAAACTCAGCCAGTGTTTAAGACAGCAACAAAACACACTTCAGGTGGTTTTTTTTTTGCAATTGTCTGTCTCATTTTTCTTGGGAAAGAATTTCTGGAGGTCACCAAAAACGGGGTATAAGTTCATGGGGCTATGGATTGATTGTGGATGCACTAAGGTAGGGGTCTTCAAACTTGGCCCTTTTATGACTGGTGGACTTCAACTCCCAGAATTCCTCAGCCAGGCACGCTGGCTGAGGAATTCTGGGAGTTGAAGTCCACCAGTCATAAAAGGGCCAAGTTTGAAGACCCGTGCACTAAGGTTTCCTTCTGTCGTTCCACTACTAGGAGTTGAAGTCCATACATCTCAAAGCATGCTGGCTGGGGGTTTTTGGGAGTTGAAGTCCACATATCTTGGGGAATTCTGGGAGTTAAAGTCCATAACTGCAAAGCTGCCAAGGTTGAGAAATATGCTGTAGCCTAGCAGGCTAGAGCTAGGTAGTTTCTGAATATGTGGCTTTTCTTTGTTCATGATAATTAATACCCCAGGCCAGGAGTTTCATAAGTCCTGGGTTGTGAAAATGAGCACTCTGTTTGTTTGGTTTTCAAATTTTTCCCCCCTTTCTCTTTTGCTCTTTTGATTAAGTTCACTGTGACTTCAAGTTTAAGAATTAAAGTAAACACTGGCCTTAAATCTCTGGGAAGCAGATAAATGCTTTTTTTTTGTTGTTGTTAAGAGAAGCAATCCAGAATGGACCCAGAGCTGCAATGCATCAGGAAATCTAAAGGAAAGACTTTTGTGTTTGCATTTGGTTTGGTGTGCCAAGGTTCCCTTTTGACAAACTTTGGCCTTGACAAGCTAAATACAATAAAATAGGCAGGTTGTCTCTCACCAGGGGTTTTTTTTTTTTTTGGGAGGAAATAGAATTATTAGTTTAATCAGGCCTACGTGGACACTGAGTAGGGGTGGGGAAGGTTAAACATGCTTTTCGATGAGCCAGGATTAGCTTTGCAAGGCTTAGATTTGACACAATGCATAGACATCCAAATCAAAGACAGGGGTGTACAGGTTTGGCCACTTTTAAGTCTTGGAGACATCAACTCTCAGAATTCCCCAGCCAATATGGAATTCTGGGAGTTGAAGTCCACAAGTCTTAAAGTGGCCAAGGTTGGACACCTCCTGACATAAGGGTATTTTACAGCTTTTCTCAGTTCAAATAAACCAAGTTTATAGTCTTCAGGGGTGTGATGGGAATCTTGTAAACATTTCAACAATGCAACCTCAGAAGCCAACAAGGAACCAGATACAATTTTCTTCCAGTTAGGGAAATGACACTTTTATATCTTCTGTCGTGGGTGCCTTTCTTCATATTTTTTTTTCATTTTTTAGTGTTGTTCTGTTTTGGGAACAACTGGCGTGAAATTCAGGTGATGGATAGATGGATGGATGGGTAGATACTGTGTTCTTGATACAATACTGTATTTTTTTGTATTTTTTTTAAAAAAGCTCTACTCTTTCATCTGGAGTGCTAATCTTACAATTTTTGTTGTCCATGTATATATAACAATTTTTAAATCAAGAAATGGAGCTCTGTCCACGAAGGCAGTTTAAATATTAAATATTAAAGAAGGAAACGGAATGAAGCAATATGAAAAATGTCACACTGTAGTTAGTTACTATTGCAAATACCTATACATTTCCAAACCAGAGGCTACTACAGGTTGACAACTTCACAGGGCTAATAAAAGCACGAATGTCCTGGACAAGTCGAACCCATTCAGAGGGAGACAATGGATCCTGAACTGGATAACATTTGGGATACAACATTAAAACCTAACTCAGGTTTTCCCAAGCTCTGACTGAGTGCTATAAATACAGGCTGGTCCATGCCAGGTTTCCTCTTTTCTTTTGTCATGTTTCAGCAAGTTGACCTCTTTGGGGCCTAGAAGCTGCTTTCTTGGATGGGAGCAAATGCTTGCTAAAATGAACAAATGAATCCAATCAATCAATCAATCAATCAATCAATCCAATCAATCAATCAGTCCAGAGGAACAGGGTGTAGTACACAGGGTGTGGTCAAAAAGAACCAAGAAAGAGAGCTTCTTGCCTGCCAGCTGGATATTTTTATGACTTCTCTGCAGAAAATCCTCGACTTACAACAGTTTAGTGTTTAGTGACCACTCAGAGTTACAGCGGCACTGAAAAAAAGTAACTTAGGACCATTTTCCACACTTACGACCGTTGCAGCATTCCCGTGATCACGTGATCCAAATTCAGACATCTGGCAACTGACTCACATTTATGACGGTCGCCGTGTCCCAGGGTCACCTGATCCCCTTTTGCGACCTTCGGACAAGCGAAGTCAACGGGGGAAGCCAGATTCACTTAACCACCACGTTACTCACTTAACAACTGTGGCCAGCAAGGTTGTAAAATGAGGCAAAAGTCAGTTAACAACTGTCTTGCTTAGCAAGAGAAAATTTGGTCTCCGTTTGTGGTCATGAGTTCGAGGACTACCTGCCTTGTCTTCCAACAAACTTGTGTTCTGTTTTCTGGCACTCATAGGCAACCCCCCCCCCCAAAAACCAGTTGCCTTTCCTGATTAGTTACCATTAATTAACATCCATTCCAACAGATGTAAAACCAGCATTCCAGCTAAAGAGGTGCATTAAGCTCCTTGCTTAAAAAAAAAAAAAAGGCTTATTCAATTTTCCAGGAGCAGTTTTGATTACTTTATGGACCCATTTTTAAATAATACATTGCCCCCCCCCACCCTTTGCTTTATTTCTAGGAGATATTTAATGCAGGGGAGCACTTTCTTAAAAGGGCCCAGATTTAAACTGCAACTATTTTCTTTATTCTCTGGTTTTATTGCCATCTTATTACTGGTTTCCTGCTGGCTATTTCAGGCCCCGAAGGGGAAGGAAAAGAGGCTCCATTTATTTCTCAGATCACTTTAAAAAAAATACCTGCCAAATTTCATTCCTTGGGTATTGAATATCTAAATAAACACGGTAACCAGCCTGAAACTTTCCTATCTCTTTAATGGCTTTTGAAATAGCACAGGATGCTAAAAGTATCCGCTCTAGCTATTTTATCCTGATAGCAATCAGGTGCAATGAAAGATTAAGCATTTTTAAAAGGGTTCCTTCCCCGTAACAGAAATGTTTGCCCTGAGTTTTATTAGCATAGTTTCTTGCAGAGGCTGTGCACATTAATCTTGTAAGAACAGAACAAGCTGGCAAAGGAAAATTTGGAGACAAAAATACACAGGCAGTTTAACTCCCCCTCATTTGGCAAGTTAGTTCTTGAGTTTTCAAGAATTCTCCTTTTGATATGTGAAACAGTTCTTGGATTCTCACAGCAGAGTGAATCCGGACAACGGGCAATGAATAGGTTATGGGTGAACGTGTAAAGGGAAACCACCATTGGTTTGTATCAACCCAGCCACCCTGTTTTGCTACACCAGAATGTGGGCTTAGAGAGCTACATGAACCCAGCAACTGAAGGGACGAGGAAGTTTAAGAGTAGTGAAGAGCGGAAGGTCAACCTTTTGAGTTGAGACTCATGTTAAACGTTCATCCTGTCCTACATCAATCCTTTCTCTTTCCATTCTTCCACCAGTCATGGTGGGGAAAGAACATTCCTAGGACTTTCCTTGCAATGTTGTTGAAAGAATGCTGCAAGAGAATCAATGTAAGGATTAACAAGGACTGTGCAAATGTAATTGGAATGATAAAAATAACTTTGAACGGGGCAAAAACAAGGAGAGTCGCTCTAGAAGCAACCAGCCAAATAAGGTAGGAGAATCAGCCGAACAGTAAGACTTCTGTGTCTCTATCAAATGTTGCAGTCACTTAGAAACTCACACACAGGTCTGTGTGCCTCCACCAACTCTTCTCCCTCTTGGCAAGACCCACATTTTCCCCTCTCTCCCTGGAGATTAACGAAAGTTGACCCAGAGGACAAGTCAGACGGTCAGTTCCAACCCAACATCCCCTCCAGAGAAAACCTCTCCTGACCTGGTCTCCGGTCTCCTTGCTGCCCAGGGACTGGTATTTCCGACCCAGATGGAGGAAGGAGGACCCATCCTGGAAGAACTTGGCAAAGCTTTGTCTGGCTCCCATCTTGGTGGGCAGAGTGGGAGCAGGCACAAGTGTGTATGTGTGGGGGGAAACACAGCTCAAGAAGAAACTGCCCCAGCTACAGCTGCTGCTGTGAATTACCTTTTTGTTTCCTGGCTGAAAGGCTCACATTCCCTCCTAAGCTGAGGAGGTGCATGGAAAGGTGAGCCGTGGGTGTTACCTGATACAGACACACAGCAACGCCCCGCCTACCATTCCGTAACAAGTGCCTGGGAGGGGCTAAATTCTTCTTCAGAACAGCTGACCTACCTGGACAGGTCCGGTCTGTGGAGGCTTAGCCTTCCCCCCCCCAGGTCCTGGGAAACGTGGCGTTGTATGTTTACAAGAGTATTAAAGTCCTGTCTGTTGTCCCAGGTCAAAATTTGGGCAGAGCTCCTATTCTTGCGTAACCATTCATTCCGGCCAGTTTCTGCAACTGTGTCAGCTATGCTGTATGAGTTGCAAGCCCCAAACTGTGGTTAGTGTGTTTCTATGTATGTATGCAAAAAACATTTGCAAAAATAGCTGGGTTCAACTATTGTAAAATTGCATGCATTTTGGAATGGAGACCTGTGTTTCTGTCCCTCTGAAAAGGCTGATGCCGTTGACATCCCCTTATGCTCATAGTTCAGTTGTAATTTTTTTACAAATATTAAATAAATGTTCGTAGTGTTTCCAACAATGTTGGCTGGGGATTTCTGGGAGCTGAAGTTCATCTGATGAAAGTGGCCAAGTTTGAGAGGCAAAAGGACCTTTTAAAAAATCCAGTCTAGGCTGACCTAACCTTTAGGAAAAAGTTCAGTGACTCTGCCTTCCCTTGATCTTTGCAGAGAAATGTCCTCTGTTTGCATGAGTAATGTGTATTTACAGAGCAGAACACAGCTAACACTGAGCAGAACAACTAGGGGTCATAATTACCCCACTGGAAGGCTGCATCAGGAGCGTTACACAATGGTTAAATCAACCATCCTTTTTTCAGCCCTTCTAAAGCAAACCATTTTCTGTTGATTGATTTCTTCCATTCAAAGAGCTAAAACATGACACCAATTTTCCCCAAGTCGAAAAGAACATCCTTGTGTCACAGTCCGTAGATCCGTGTGTGAAAATTGCACGGCTGATGAATTCTTGTCCAGACGTGGAATAAAATACTGTAGCTGCTTTATGGAGGGTCATGTAACCTTGCAGACAAGAGTTCTCTAGTGTTCCATAAATGGTGTGTTTTTTTTATCCCAAGTATCTGGAATTTGAGATTTGCAAATGGATCCTGAAGATTTTTCATGTGCAAAGTGCGTTGTCCATTTTGGGGCCAATTTGTCACCTGATCCCATCACATAACATTTCAACTTGCTCATTCCCAAATCTAATTTTGTATCGTTTTAACCTTAGGAAAAACATTTACTTAGATCTGCTGAAGGTTGAGTGGAAATTGGCAAATAGATCATGCCAGACAAATCTTATTGCATTCTTTGACCAAGTGACAAAATTAGTGGATCAGAGGAATGCTGTGGACATAATGTACTTGGACTTCAGTAAGGCATTTGATAAAGTAGATCACAACCTACTACTTGACAAGATAGAAAAATGTGGGGTAGACAGCATCACCACCAGATGGATCCGTAGCTGGCTGACCGGCCGTACTCAGCATGTGGTCCTCAATGGAACCGCATCTACATGGAGGGAAGTGTGTAGTGGGGTGCCCCAGGACTCTGTTCTGGGCCCAGTGCTCTTCAACATCTTCATCAACGATTTGGACGAGGGGATAGATGGGGAACTCATCAAATTTGCAGACGACACTGAGCTGGCAGGAATAGCCAACACTCCAGAAGACGGGCTTAAGATACAGAAGGATCTCGACTTCTGGTGGCAGGCGACCTCGTTGGAAGCAGCTGTTTGCTGCCTCCCACCTGTTTCAGCGTAAAAGCCGTTTTGACAGCTAGCATCAGCTGTAAAACGGCTTGATACCTTTCCCCTGGGCATAAGGGGATAGGTGAGCTGCCCGGGGTAGGAGTTGAGTTCCCGAGTCGTCCCATGTGGACGATGTAGGTGAGAACTCCTCCGGAGCCCCGAGGCTTCTCCGCGATCCAGGACGCCTTCGCTTCGGC